TGCACCGGGAACAGGTCCGACTTAATGCCGGCAATGCGAACCATTGTTTTTTTTTTAATTGAATTTGCTCAGTGTAACCTAAATGCAAACATCTCCATTTGACCTTGCATGGACCTGTGGTGCTGTGTGCATCTGCATTGTGTGTGTTACTATAACACAAATATAAACCAAACTGTACTATGAAAGATATAAACCTGGTTTTAAATGGTCAAAACTTAAATCCAGAATTTTGCAGCTGACTGAAAAGTTTCTAGTAATTCTGTTTTGTTACGTAAGGCAAAGCACATTTATTTGCGTAGCTCAATTCAGTACAGAGATTCAAAGTGCTTTTCATGAATTAAACTGTAAAACGGAAGGAAAAAAAAAGAAAATGACTTATGGAGTTAATATAACGAAACATATGACAGAATAGAACAATCTAGCCGTACAGTTAGTTCTCACATGTATTTTAAGCAGTTTTTCCTTTATTATCAGCTAACATTGGTGACTTTCATGGTCTTCCTAACAAAGCCAGATATGGGATTATTGGTGTGCAGGAAATATATAGTCCAACTCCACAAATGGAAGTGATTTGTGAGGATCAGGCGGCTTTCTGCCAGGAAATACCTGTCATAGATGGTGATTCAGTGATTTCTATTCTTTTTAAACAGACTAGTTTGTCAACTGCATCAACGCGTGCACAATAAGGCGAGCCACAATGTCCTCAGAGTTATGCAAAAAAAATTTGTGAGTGTGGTACGCAACAGCTTGCATGTTTGTAAAAAGCCTGCAAGGGAAAAGTTGAGTTTAGGAGCCAGGAACTCTGCAGCTCTTACATAAGATATAAGAGAAGTCGCTTGAATTGCAATGCGTCCGGGGTATCGCAGAGAGAACAGCTTCAGCGGCCACGGTGAATATTGTGCAGAGCAGGGGGCATCCATGTGTGAATGAACCGCTGTGCAGCAATAACATGGAAGGCATGGAGGAACAGAACGGTATGTTGAGCAACGGTTTCTGTGTTTCGTCACGTTGGTTTTTATTAGGTGTGTGTGCATGTGTGAAAATGGCTGCATAGGAGGGGCTGTAGCTGGAGGAATATTTACACAGTATTGTAAAAAAAATACATCAAAGACAAACTGAATGCTGTAAAAAACGATCAGAACATTTTAAAGCCAAATATTTAATTTTTCCGACAGTTTTTCCACTTTTTGATTATTTCAACTTCAGAGAGACTTTTGTAGCTGGAGCCATTAGTACAGCGAGGTCCTGCAGACGGTCTGCATGCACTCTACATGCTTTCCCCAGTGCATGTATGCATGCATACTCTGGGTTCCTCAGGTTAATACATTAGCTTGACCGGTTGCTCTAAAGTTGCCCTTACGCCTAAATCTGAGCAGTTTCTCCTGTGTGTCTCTGAGTTTATCCTTTGATGGAGAGATAACCCGTGAAGGGCAAACCCTGCCTTGGCCCTGCAGGGGCAGGAGGGGTTAAAATCATGGATCCATGGAACTCAGTCCCTTTATCATCTTTAGTCAGGATTTTATTTGAGATGAGAACAAAATGAAATCCATTTTTATTGAACTACTGAAAGAGGTTTGTTTAGCAGGTAGCTTGATTGTGCGTTAGCCTGTGCCTCTGTTAATTAAATAACTTCAATAAAAGTTGGTTATTTTAAGGTGTTTAAGCTGCTGTCTAATTAAACAGGCTTTGTAGTTTATTTAGTTTGAAGTAGTAGTTAAATGCTAATCTAGTTTACCAGTAAAGCATTTGTCATAACCTTTATTAAAACCTGATTATCCTGCTCTGACCAATTAGTTTGATCCCAGCTATGGTGTCAGAGGAGCAGAGATATTTAGTCTGATTGACAGCAAATAAAAAAAATGACAACAAACAGCATTCAAACTTTCTGAAGCTGTGAATTAACTTCATCCAAATAAAACGTCTCTTTCAGGACCGAGGAAGGAACCGCTCCTTTGATCTCAGTTTCTGGGCGAATTTACTGGTTTGTTAAATGGAATACATTTTGTAATGTGTTTGTTTTTGAATTCCATGCATGGTTATGAGGTTTGGTGTTTCAGTGATTTGCTGTGGTTTGTTTTTAGTTTGGTGGTTTTTACTTATGAATTGGATGCGTTCATTCGTGGTTCCCAGAGTGTGGGGCGCACCACCTAATTGGGGCCGGTGTAATTGCAGGTGGGGTCATGGTATGAGGGTATGGGGGAGTAACTGTATTATTAACACATTTTTTTATATATTGATTTTGAATCCTGTTACACAATAACGTGAGCAGTTAAACTTAAATAATTACACTTTAAATGTGGTAGTTTTGTAACCTAACTGAGAAAGTAGTGTAATTTCTTACAATTGTTGTCATTCGACTGTTGAAAAGCAAGGGCAGTGTTCCGTCAGACCAGTATACCCATACTCCATACAAATTTATCCCTGTAGTTTATCCCTGTTTATCCCTTTAGTTTATATATGTAGTTTATCCCCTTAGTTTACATATTTAGTTTATGCCTTTAGTTTTAACCCTTAGTTTACATATTTAGTTTACCCCTTAGTTTACATATTTAGTTTATCCCCTTAGTTTACATATTTAGTTTACCTCTTAGTTTACATATTTAGTTTATCCATTTAGTTTACATATTTAGTTTATGCTTTAGTTTTCATATTTAGTTTACCCCTTAGTTTACATATTTAGTTTATCCCCTTAGTTTACATATTTAGTTTACCTCTTAATTTACATATTTAGTTTATCCATTTAGTTTACATATTTAGTTTATGCTTTAGTTTTCATATTTAGTTTACCCCTTAGTTTACATATTTAGTTTATTCCCTTAGTTTACATATTTAATTTATCCCTTAGTTTATATATTTAGTTTATTCCCTTAGTTTACATATTTAATTTATCCCTTAGTTTACATATTTAGTTTAACGGCTTAATTTACATATTTAGTTTATCCCTTTAGTTTACATATTTAGTTTATCCCCTTAGTTTACATATTTAGTTTATCCCTTTAGTTTACATATTTAGTGTATCCCTTTAGTTTACATATTTAGTGTATCCCTTTAGTTTACATATTTAATTTATCCCCTTAGTTTACATATTTAGTTTATCCCTTTAGTTTACATATTTAGTGTATCTCTTTAGTTTACATATTTAGTGTATCCCTTTAGTTTACATTTTTAGTTTATCCCCTTAGTTTACATATTTAGTTTATCCCTTTAGTTTACATATTTAGTGTATCCCTTTAGTTTACATATTTAGTTTATCCCTTTAGTTTACATATGTAGTTTATCCCTTTTTTTTGCACAAAAAAATAGACTAAATTACGTTAACCAGCGTGACTCCCTTTAGTCATGTATAAAAAACCTATTTAATTACCTACTTTTTGCTGTTTTTTGAAGCGTATGGCGATCTGACCTTACATTGTGATTACTTTTTTTTTTTTTTTTTTCAAAAACTAAAACCGTCCAAAAAGAGATCCAACATCATTAAAGTGTTTTTATTTTCCTTTCTGCTATTCTAATAAACTGGTTGTTTACTAGAACAACCAGTTTACGGTCTCCTTTCTATTGTTCTCTGTTAGCCCCAGTGCTAAGTTGGTCTCGTTCCTAATTTAAACAAATTCTAGTTACTGAACCAAACTTTGTTTTCATGCTGAGCTTTGATATCGCTCTATTGTTTTTTTTCCGGTTATCGTCCCTTATTTATTGTTTTTATTAATTGTTTTTCTTATTCTTTGTTAGTGTAGTTTCATATTGATAGCCTGCTTAAAGGTTTCTCTCAGCCGGAGCGGCGGAGCGGGGTTCAGGCACAGGGGTACATCGGAGTCCGCAGGGCACGCATCTCGTCCCTCATTGGTTACTACGACACCAATATAAACAAAGTTCAGGAGAAGCAGCAACAAATTTAGCTGTGATCACACACACACAATCTCATGATTTGACTGGAATGTATTTGGATTACATAATTGTACCAGATTGCACCGTTTATATAGACATTAATACAAAACCAGCAATTGGACTAAAAAGGTTTCATGTTAATACGGCATGGGGAATATTCTGACTGTCACTCTAAGCTGCAATGAGGTCAGCTTGCCTCCTGCAGAATAACTAGATATTTATGCTGATCAGCATAAAACGCGACTCTCAGATGATACAGTTTTGTTCTGATCCTGACGCGATTTGTGTAACTGGCTCTTTCCTCACATGAGCCAGTGTAGCCCTCACCACCCTTAACCAGCAGGCGCTGGAAGCAAACCAACGCCCATTTTCTTTTTCATCCCGGTGGCGCCAGTGTACGGCAGCCTTGCTTTTGTCAGTGAGCCCCAGGGCAGCTGTGGCTACAATGTAGCTTGCCATCATTAGTGTGTGAGTGAATGACTGAATGTAGTATAAAGCGCTTTGGTCAAGTCTCCTAACTTGAAAAAGCGCCATTTACCATTTATTTAATCCGTTTGTTCATCGTTTCATTTTCTGCGATCGAATTCAGCGGCTGCGTCCTCCGAATGCTAAATTCGTTGGCCGATTACATTATAGCATGGCCCTGAGGGCTGTTTACAGTTTAACTGTAAAGATAAGAAAAATCTTTACAGTTAAACTTTTTTTGGTGTGCCGTGCTCTGGATCCAAGGAAGAAGGAATAAGGTTCCTGATTGATTGTGGGAGCCAGTTTACCTTCTGACCTGCATTCATGGACCAGCTGATCCATTCCTGTTTATATGCAGACTAGTCACTGTTGGAATCAATGATTGCTGAAGCAGGAGGTGGAAATCATGAGATTATTTAGCCTTTTTCCTTTTTAGAGATCATTTTGTCTCATAAGATTTGAGTATTAAACTACAGATTTGATGTCTTTTCATTTTCTTCTCTACTTCAGAGAGAACGTTTCCTGACTCTCCTTTAGCTTTGTTCCAGGCTGCGGCAGGCCATGACTGTGTCCCTTTCTTTGTATGTCAGGGCCAGCTGGTTTAACAGCCTATAAATAGCCCTGAATGACCTCCAGATCCATACCAGGCTCACAACAAGTGTACCTAACTGACTGTCTGCAGAGAAAACAAGTCAGGAGGGAAGGGCTAGATAGAGAAACACAAAGAGGGAGTGGAGGACGGCTGTTTTTTAAGTTGCCTTAAGTTCTCAAGCCCTCAGAAAGCAGGGATGGGTGATCCAGCAAACCTGGTGGAGTCCATCACACCTTCCGTGGTCACAGCAACTCCTGCAGCGGTAGCCGGGGAAATGCAAGGTGAGGAACAGGTCACTGGGATGTATGGGAGGACTGGGAACCTTCAAGGTCCCTGAATGGGACTGGCTGTTGAGTTCAAAGGGAAGAGCCATGTCGTCTGAAGCTCCGGTTCTTCTGGTTTGGTATCAGCGCTTCCTGTCCTACTAATTGTGTGTTTTATTACTGGTTATGCTAAACATGAATAACAGTTATTTAATGGATTTAGTTTCCTTATAAGTTTCTAACACCTACTTGTTGAACTGAATTCAAATCAACCTGAAAAAGCGGATGGTTCTTCTGCTACTGCATTCATTTAGTTTTCATGCAAGGATCTCATTTATGTTCAGTTCAACAAGTGCAGCTCACACCTCTGAATCAGACATTTTTCTGTTCAAATCCTTCCTGACAGCTGAGCGTTTCCATGACGATTAGACTGAAGTAACCCTTCATGTGCCTCAGGCGGGTTGGTAAACTTTCAACTCAGAGTCAAACTGATCACGGAGGTGTGCCTTTGAAATCTGACCTAGCAACACACATCTCCTTTACCACCTGTTCATTCTCTCTGCCATTTCTCCCATCATGCTTTGCAGGGTCTCTTGGACACACCCAGAATAACTTACTGGGTGTGAGTGGGGCTGTCTGGTTTGGCTGCCTTCTTACCTCTAGGGCTGACTGTGAAGATGACGAATACATCAAGTTGATTTACCTGAAAAATATTTGACTTTTTATGTTAGGGATTCACCAATCAGTTGTTCAGAACTAGGACATGACTTCTTCTTTACTTGAAACAATGAAAGGAACAGTTTACTGCAGGAAGACTCAATTTTTATAGCGGTTTCAACATTTTAAACTGAAATTCATTTTTTTTTTCTGTAGTTTAAATTTATAACTAAATAAAAGTTATTACATCAGGTGCTTATCAGCTAAAATGTTGATGCTACTATTAAAAAGTCCTAAATGGAATTCTAAGTGATGACTTTAGAGGCCGTTGCTCCTTCTTGTCATAAGTGGCTTTCTTTAATTTCCTCACCATGGCTTTTTTATTTCTGGATACTGTGACCAAACAACTGATTTGTCCTTTTTCAGCCAAAACAGCACGGCAACAGGTAGGGGAGGGGGGGGTCGCTGTTAGCCGGCTTTGCATGTATTGCATTATCCATCATTCCCTTTCTGAAGGTACCGTGCATCGATGGGGGGAGGCAGAGGGGAGGAAAAACACTTTTTTCATCTAAAAATTAGATTATTTTTAAGGCCCTCCTGCATAAAACACAACTTCTTAACTTGTTATATCACTCTGAGATAAAACTTTGGGGCTTTAAAACTGTGAAGCTCTCCCTTTCTAACTATGGAGGACGAGGTTCTCCCACCAGAGTCTGGACTTTCAAACGAAGCATAAAGCACATCTACGCTCCTACAGCTTTAACACTGTTAGGCTGCTTTTCTTCTGTGCTTTTATCAGTAGGAAAATAATACAGCATTGAAAACATCAGAATCAGAAATACTTTAATAATACACGCTCCAGACACAGAAATGTATATATATTAGGGATGGAACGGTTTTTGAAAACCGTCCGAACCGTTCGGTTCGACTGTCTCGTTTCGGTTCGTGTGTGGTGCGTTCGGTTCATGCGCTGCTCCTACTCAAAAAATAGTTTGAGTTGATTTTTTTTATTTATTTATTTTTTTTGTACGCAGTTGTAAAATAACTAAATTTGTCTGAAACAGAGACATTTGGAAAAAAGCTAATTAAAACAAAATTATTTAAATAAAAATAACCTAAAAATAACAGAAGTTATTCCCAAAACCTTCCTTGTTTTTTTTTATGTTTGATTTTTTGGATTCCTGTTATTTTTTTCCTTTTTTTTTTATTTATTTCCATTTGCAGAAGCTGGTTTCTATTTGCAACAATAATGGAAGAAAAGTGACTCCATAGAGGAGAGGGCCCTCGTCGGCCTTTAATCCTCAGCGTTTCTGGTATCTGCTCCTTTGCAGCAGCCAAACAGGAGGAGTTCTGCCTTTCAAAGTGACCTCCAGCAGGCGTCTCTGAGCAGACCACTAAAAATATACTCCTGATGGTTCCCACTGCCCGCCATTCAAACCCCAGAATGCAGTGACATTTTAGCTAACTGGCCTTGCTTCCTGCAGCATTATTTTTGTTGTTTCTCATGTTTAACACATTGCCTGTCATCATTTATTTTATTAAGATCTGGTGCCTTCCAGCTGTTCCTTTTGTACTGAAAATAAAGAATGTGTTGGAAGAGAAAATGGAAACTGGTGCATGCAGAGGATTATGATTTGCTGTTCTTCATTTAGCATGGATTAAGAGAAAACTGTCCTTAAACTTGTGTTTTGCTCTTTTTGTTCTAGATGGGTCCAAAACCCAGTCCGTCAATAAGAATGGAAAAAAGTCTGACTCTGGATCCAGCAGCAGCAGTTTCTTCACCTGGTTCATCGTGCTGGCCCTGCTTGGCGTCTGGACATCTGTAGCCGTGGTCTATTTTGACTTAGTTGACTATCAAGGAGTTATTGGTGGGTACAGCTGCTCCATGGAGAAGCTCCTCTCTAGATTCTTACTTCATGTGTTTGTAGATGTAAAGCTTTATTGCAATAAGTGAGCTAAAAGAAAGTAAGATTTCTGCAAAGAAGCGTTTTTTGACTTTATTTATGTAAGTAATAAAATTAACTGCCAGCAGGAATAAAGTAGTTTCATTTTAAATTAAAAAAAAATAAATTCTTCCCTTAATCTTATTTCAAGCCCAGTTACAGCAGTAAATAGAATAATCTGATATAAGGAGCCCCTTTCATTGGTGGATAATTTTACTTATCTGTTCAAATAAATGGCAAGTGATATTTTTCTAGAAATTTGACTTATTTCTAGATCAGTTTTGCTGTTTTATCACCTGAAAGGTGAAGGTTGCCAGTGCATAATGTGTCTGCTTCAGTATATAATCCTGCTTGTTTGGGTCCTTTTCTAATTGTCATCTCAAACTTTACAACATTAAGACACACGCTGCTAAACTGTCTGTTGTTAGGCCTTTTAACGATGTTAATACAATGCGCCACAATCGGGGGTGGACATCTTTAGAGTCTTTGTGAAATTACTATTGAATTGTAAGTCAGAAAGTGGCGATGCAGCTTAAATCCAAAAGCATCTGTGCTTTACAGAGCTCTGAAACGGCTCCAGAACGCATCGTCATGGTAAAATTTCAGCATAGTGTATTTTGATTTATTTTTGTTGTCTTGCACTATTTGTTATTGTAAAATTCAAGACACTTCAAGCCCTAGCAAGTTAAGGGTTAGCTGGTTAGGAAGTGAGGCTAATCCTGATTGGATCATTGTCATTTTATTTATGTAGCACATTTAACACAACATCAAAGTGTTTCCCACAGAGATCTCTGCAAACAATGAGATGTAAACATCTACAATCAGAAGGTTGCTGTAACAATGGCAATGCAAGCAGGGTAAAAGAAAGCTGCTTAATATAACAGGTTTCATGAAACCTAT